ACGAAAACATGTCTCCCCCTCTGCACGAGGCCGAGCAACGGCAGGCTGCCCGGCGTGCCTGTACATATAGCCATTGCAAAGGCAATGGGCACACGACGCAGTTGCAGCTGGATCGCAGTTGGCGCAGGTGGCTGAGGTGAGGTCATGAGGGTTGTGTATGCCATTCTGTATAAAGATGAAAAGGTTGATATACTAGGGCCCCCGGTTTCGGGGTGTCGAATTATAACTACTGTAATTAGAGCTTAAGGGATGTCCATTAACCACCCCAAACCGGGGGCCCTGGTACAAGAGGTGGTGCCATCCACTCGAGTGGGAGCGCCAATTCCGGCCTGGCGAGTGGAACCAGGCCTCACTCGTGAGGATCCCAGGACGCCCGGCGCACCCAGCAGTCCCAGGGGTCACATGCAAGAACCACACCCATTGTGCTTCGCACCCAGTCATACGCCCGCCAAATGACTAAACACATCGATGCGCCAAGTAAGTGCACTACAGTATGTGTTTTTTCACCAGTGATGGGTTTTTCTTGTGCCTGGCCAACTTCAAAAGCGATCTGCGCAACCAGTTGCAGGGTCGTCGCTCACGAATACGGGGCACCGAAGAAAGAAAAGCAGCGGTTCTTCCCTGGACCATCACATCCGACTAGCAGCTAGCATCGATCATCAATATGTCGGTTTGTACACGCAGTTCTTGCACCTGGGCCAACCAAACAAGTATAACTATATTATATATATATATACATTGTTAACAGAACACGACGTTGTGGAGGTGTCTGTTTTCCCAGTGTTCTAGTCTTCTTATGAATTTACTATCTATGCGCTGGAGGTATTCTTATTTAAGGATAAAATGTAGGAGGATATTGTCACATCACGCGACACATCACAGTAGCAGACATCGCATAGACATCGCAATGTCGCCAGCGTCGCGGACATGGACCGCACAGAGTTTCCCAGAGGGGGGGGGTCGACCAAAAAAAAAAAATGGTGGCCTTGATTTGAGGCAGCACCATTTTTTTTGGTTGACCCCCCCCCGAAACGGAGAGCATACTGAAGAATCAGAAAGGAAAATGCGCAAGGAAATGGAATAGGACAATCCTGATGAGATCTCATGTGTTGAAGGGGATTTATGCTGAAAGGTCCAAATGGGAGACAGAGATTCTGAAGCATCAGCAAAGCACAACAGCAGATGAGAGAACGCAAAGGAGTGGATTGAGCAAAGGGAAGAAAGCATCAGCTGGGAACCACATGAGAGTCAGGGCATCAGGCGGGGGTGCCAAGCAACAATTCCCCCACTTGGTTGGTGAGGTTAAGACATGGTTGGAAAGGGAAAGGAGTTATGGGCATGGGGTGCAGAAGATGGATCTTGCATGGAAATATTTTCAGTTGCTATCAGTGGAGAAAGTCATGCTTGAGGAGAAAAGGGATGAGCTGGAAGATGGGCCCCAGAAGATTCTTTGTATCAATCAATTGGAAAGGGCTGAATCCCAAATGAAGAGCATCAAAGAGGGGTATAAGCAAAGGGAAAAGAGGGCCAAGATGCTTATGGATGCTATTGGTGCCAAACATATGACTCCAAATGCGTTGGCGCCCTTGAGCAATGAGGAGCAGCAGGTTTCAGCAGAATTGGCATGGAACCACCATGACTATATCATGAGCCTTGTGTCCATGGGGCATGAAGATCTGAAGGAATTTGTGGCAAAGCCTGAATGTATGCTTGGATTCTCAGATCAGGTTCCTGTATGGGTGAAAAAGGGATCAACTAAGGCTCTATTTGCAGGCCATGAGACCAGGACACATGGGAAGACCGTCAAAAAGATTAGGAGGGACCTTCAAGATGAGCTGAACCAACAAGCCCATGAGACAGGAACCCAATGAGGACCTTGAGGCATTGGATGATCAGAAGAAGCAAGATTGGCAATTGGTGACCACTGAGGATCAAAAGGGTGGGGGAAGAGCTCATTTGACTATCATGACGGATTCAGCAAACTGAGAAGATGAGGATTACCTTTGAGGCCCATCAGGTGGTGAGCAATTTCTTCAACCCTGATGAGGACCCCATTGGACATGTGGGCAAGGGGGCGCTCATAGTATCTGGGCAACATGCAAGATTGGACAACATTGATGACAAAGGCAGGTGGATTGAGGATGAATCATTTAACTATTTGGGAGACATCAAGCTGCATAGGAAGGGAGAGAGTGCCAGGAGGGCATTGGAGCAATGGGTCAAGATCAGAAGGGGTCATCCTCATTTGTTGGAGCACTATGATGTTTATTCCCAACCATCCTCCAATCAAGACAATATCATTATGTCATGGGTCATTGCAAAGCAAGGGAGGATGTATCCAGTATCCATCTATCAGAGGGATTGCTTTGTTGCTTCATTTAGCAATGATACATACAAGATGATGTATGCAGCCCATCAGCTACAGTCTATCATTCCTCCAAAGATGACAGCTATGATGCAATTGACAGATACAGACTTTAGCTATGTGTTTAAAAGCTTGATGAGGAAATCTATTGATAAGATCATGGCGAAGGGGCAGCAGGCTATGGGCACAAGTGATGTGTACCAGATGGGTGAATGCAACGAGAACATAGAACATCTATTGAAAATCATAGAAAAACAAAAAACAAAAAAAAACTGAAAAAAAAAACACACCTCCAGGGCGTCGTACTCTCATTGTTAAACATTCATTAAGCATTGACAAGATTCTGTGACACATTCGGGGGTACACAGTGAGCACACAGCCACATACCAGCCACCAGGCAGTGCTTGATCATTGAAATTGGCAGGTAGATCATGTCGGCGGAACTTGAAGTCCCTTGTTACTTCTTGTTATATACTATTAATGATGGCCTCCAACCTAATAGCGATGGCGATGGCCTCCAACCTAGTAGCTGTGTCGATATCGCTTCTTCCATCTGGGTCTTTGGGCAATCTCCCTGCTACACCCCTCGATCTGGACATCTTACACCTATAGAGCTCCAATGCCTTTGAAGTCGGCTCTTTCGGCCACTAGAGAGTTCCTTCCAACTTTTTGGTTGAATGAACTCGTTCCACCTATCTCCGAGGGCCGCTCGGGCCCAATTTTTCGAAATATCGGAATAACGTAGGCCGCCAAGTAGGATGGCAATACACTCGACCATATCACCACCTAACGTAGGCATTATGCCACCACTGTATGAGACATTTCCGCTGCTCCTGAAACACCAAACACCCGGTGCCCCGTTGTGTCCGCCGCATTCCACAGCCATCTTCGAAGCCGTGGGTACTTCCCATGCAAAACTGAAAACCCTTTAGATCCTTCAGCCATCAACGCGAAACAGAAACGAGAAACCGCCCGACCGACGGACCCTGTGGAACATCCAAAAGACACCAGCCAACACGACGTAACACGACGTTACCAATGCTTGGATTTGCTGTCCAGGAGCCGGGAAAGAAGATTCCCAGGAATCGGGTTCACCCATAAGGGAGAATCATGCACAAAATCGACCATGATAAACCAAACCAGGTATTTCGCGAAATCAAACCACTTCAACCCACCTTTAACTTTGGTTTCCGCGAAAAAAGTGGTGTTAACAAGCTTGTTGACCATCTTGGGTCAACCTTGTGTGACACCCAAAAGCGGCGTCGGACTGCGGGAAACTAATCTCAACAATTCAGGTTTCCCCAAGTCGGACGCTCCGCTGTGACATCCATCGCGCCGTCCACAAAAACTGACTTCCAGAGGCAGGAGAGTTGAAGACAGCCAGGGACCCCAACAAAAGCACGGAGTGGAAAGCCGTTCTTTTGACCTCCAGATCATCCGGGTGAGTTGCACAATACAATTCTGCGGGGCCGTGGCCGTAGCAAAACGATTCTTACTCTGCAAACCTGAAGTGGAAGGTCAACATGAAAAGCTTCTAGGAACACAGCAAGCTTGAGGGCACAAGCACTTATCTAATTCAATCCTCATTTGGACTGAGACTCCACCCTGCTCATAAGAAATCATAAGTTTCTGGGCGCCCAGCTCAAACACCTGCCTCCTTCTTTGGGAATCGCTCCCTTTCTCTCCGCCGCATAAAATCACGCTCAAAGCATGTGCCGGAGACGGTGACTTCATCACTGGGCAAAGACGTGTATGAAAATAGGGAGACCATCCCAGGTAACGACCCCCGTGTTTGGTTCGGGAAGGGGGTCTCCCTATTAAAATACACACCCACTTAAAATCGCCACGATCGGGCTCCAGGTCGCTGTGCACTGTATAAAGGGTCGGTCAACCCTCTGCAAGTTGACAACTCCAACGGAATATGTCGAGAGAAGAAGTTGCGTTCCAATAATTCGTTCTGACCCAAGCAAAGACCATGTATCAAGAGAATTGATATGCATAGTATATAGACGAAACATGACGAAATGATCAACATAGAACCAATCTTCTCCAATTATCACTAGTCCACATTGCCACTCGGATTTAGATTCAGGCCTTGCTTGCCTGGATACTTCTCAACTTGCACGAAGCTAAAAGCATGCCTCCAAAAATGCCTCGAACAGCTGGCAACCAGCAAGACTGCAGCTACAGCAGCACTTTTAGATCATTTTTCAACGTGCAGATCACAGTAGTCAGCATGTCATTGGAAAGATTGCTTTCTTTGGCTTGGATTTGCTGATGCAACCGGAAAAGCAATGATCCCAGGAAGGGGCAACACAAAAAGGGAAGATAAACATCTAGGGCAAAACAATGTGGGTGTACTCACATGCACCCACTCTTCACATCTTATTTAAAGGGGCTGTCTTCACCTGCAGAGAGCTAAGATTCGCTTCAGCCCAGGGCGTTGAGAACACGTTAATCTGAGAGAACCTGTGCGTCCTCTCTTCAACCCTTGAAAACCATCTTTGGGACCCTGTTGTCCAGGCCAGTATTGGCCTAGAAGTGTTTCTTCATCTTGTTCATACAGCTTATACAAATGCTTCATATTGTTCCTCTACTGTGCTCAATATTCAGTTCACATGAACTGCCCAGATGCCCCTCTCTTTAGCAACCGCGGTGCAGGGTCGGTCGACCTCAAAAACGAAGAACTGGCCCGGTGGCAGAGCCAAACACCTCCAAAAAGCTCCAAACACGTCCTTCGCAACTTGCACAACCTTCTGCGAAACTGGCCGCTCCAACTGCAGTTTTCCTGTCGCCCCTGTCCTCATCCTCAGAGCTGCCTTGGAGCGGAGAGCGCGGCGGGTCTCCGCCGCAGCGTAGCTGGTGGCAGGTCAATACATCTTCGGGTCAGCCCCTCATAAAGTTGGGAAACACTCCTGTCGCACATGTTTGGTGTGTCAGATGGATTGGCTCGGTGTGCGCCCAATGCGGGAAGATGATGAAAATGATTCCCACACACAAAGCATCTATGCGGGCCGTCCGCCCAAAAACACCCCGGATGTAGTACTGCTGGGTGTGCGAGGAAGGGTGCAAATGAGAAGTGTAGAACAAGAATGAATGCTGAAGGCATGCAAAAAGAATAACCTAGCCGATGAGGACACGTGCTAAATCTACCCAACAAGACTGTACACTGGGAAAGCGGAGATGAAAACGATTCCACATGCCAGGGGTAAAATACCCAACCCGAAAAAACCGAACCACCCCGCGCAAAACCACCACGATGAGCCAGGGAAAAGGGGTGCCACTCGAGCCAGGTCTGGAGGACCAGCTCTACCTCGACCAGCTCGGGATCTGTCCCAGAAACACCTTGTTCATATCGATGCACGTGTTCAGTTGAGTGTACTGGGAGAGGCTCCATGGAGTGTGGAGTGTACGAGGACGAGAAGCCTTAAAAATGGTTGAAACGTATTCACAAAAATCCTAGAAGAACTGAACCTCTTCAACCTTCAAAAAGATTGTATCATGGACAAGTAGGCAGGTTCTTGATATGATTTAAGAAGCACTGCTTGCTCGGGGACCCGAGGGCGCTCTTCTCCCACAGCTTGGGGAACCCGATAGACCCGAATGGGTAGCTCTTCTCCTGCTCCCTGGTTGATGAGCCTCCAATCACAAGCCAAACATGGTAGTAATTAGTGAGTCAGAAAGGATCTTGACAGGCCACTCCCAAATCAAAAATATTGGTAATGAGGTAATGTATGGTAATGTGTCTTTCCCAATCCATGTGATTGCCACAAGATCCACAACTACAGCCACCACACCTAGTAGCATCATCTGTATCCCCAAACACCCAGCCTTGATGGTGTTCCAGTTGGAGTTGAGCTGTTGGTGCCCACATGACTCATGACCTCGCTCCGCGCGAGAAAGGAGGCGTTCGGGCGAAGGGAAGGAAGGACGTCTGGCGAGGCAAGTCCTTCCTCGTGAGGCCACAGGGAGACCCCCAGTTTGACCTGAAACAATAGGAAGGTCTCAGGGGGCAAGACATGCGCATCTCAAGTCTGGCCAAGCTCGGGGTACACCTTGCTAACGATCCGGTCTGACGTGGTTTTCCGCTCCTGGCCGCCGGGCCGTTCATCAGGGTCTCCCATGTTTCCAACACACTCATTTGCGTGTGAGGACCAAAACCGGCCCCAAAACAACGGTTCCCGACAAAGAACAATGCCAGGAACGACCATGAAAAAGAGGATTCCGTTGAGTGACTGAAGAACTTTACTAGACAACGAGCTTGGATGAGGTTACTGTAGTATATATATATTATATAATATATATATATATATGTTGATACTCTTGCACGATGACAGGGGAAGGCACCTCCAATCCTGACCAACCAAATCCAGCTTCACTCACCTTTCAAAAACTGTCGCGCGTTCTCTTTTCATCGAGTTTGCTTTCGCGTTCACCTCTCAGAGTTTGCGAGTGTGCCTCCTTAAATTCAACAACCACAAAACATATATCATGCAATACCAGTTTTTCAGGACACAATACGAGTGACTTTTATTCCAACCCCCTCTTTGGGATGAGTTGGGGTCTTCAAGAAAGTTAGGTCCAAGCACCGTCCGGACCATCCTGTTGGGGTGCCCTGGCTGGACTGCCCCCCACACTACTTATGCTCCTGGCTGCAAACCAAAACAGCATGGTCCTGGTACCTAGATCCTGGTCCAAGACCCCCAGTCTTTGCTCTGGGCGCTCACACCCCGAATCGGCGATGCTCGGGGCTCGAGCCCACCAAGCACCTGTGGAGAACGGTGGGGTGATCTGGAATGGCTCCAAAACCCAGGGGGATCTGGGAGCCGCTACAAAGATCATGGATGTGAAATGATGTGAACATGTGTTTCCTTAGTGAAAATAGCTATAGCGATGACCTGAACTTTGTTGAAGAAATCATGAGAAGTGCTCAATTGGCCAGTTCTTCTTTCACCACCTCACACATAGACAAAGCTTCTCCGTCACGAAGTGGTCACCTCATCACCCTCCACCGCGAGCTCGCGTTCGCGTGCGCGGCTCGCTGCACGCGCTGCGCGCGACGCGTCGCGGCGCGCGAAGCGTGCGGAACTTCGCTGCGGCGTTGGGCGCTTCCAAAAGTTCTCCTCGCCCTCGGAGCTGGGGGTCCCTGTGGCTGTGGGTGAGGCCTTGGGCGAAAAGGACGGTGGACGGGCACACAAGCCAGCACCATGGTCGTTCGACGAAAACGGAGGATGAAGAAAAACACCCGTGTTCCACCCAAGAGTTGTTACCATTTAGCTAAAACCCAAATCAAATCGGAGAGGCATCCGCCACGCGGTCTTCAAAACCTCGATGTTCACGGTCTCTTACTGAAGAACTCAGCACTGCTGGGTCAGCAGCACAGAACCAACGTGCTTTAGACTGCACCACTAAACAGGCCTTCAAGTGTGGGGCAACCGTGGGTATCAAACCTCCAACATCCTCCAACACAGCCAGAGCCAAGCCAGAATCTGGACCGCACTGGCCAAGATTAAGTATCTTGAATCTTCATCCGAATCCATATACTGTATTAAGTATTCCATTGCCAGTTAATCCATTAAGTCATTAAGTGTGGGGTTAAGTACAGAATCCATCTACTGTAACCCCATTCTAACAACCTCCCATCTTCCTCAACCGAGAGACCCACGCCCCTCTCATCAAACCTCCCAAGTGGCGCAGTGCTCCTCATAGCTGGGTGAACACTTCGGGGTGCCCACCTGGGGAGCTCGGCTCGGTGCACAGCTCCCCCTCTCCCTCCCTCGCAGCGGAACGAAAGCTGGGTCGATCTATGTTGGGCGGAAAACTTGCTTTTTGGTTGGTTTCATTAAATTTCATTATGCTTCATGGTTCTTTCGCGGGCAAGTGTGATTGAGCAAACACAAGCAACAGAAGAGTTCAAGGGCTTCCAAAAGCAAAAGACTAAGCAACAGTTATGGTAATGGAGAGGGGCGCTCTATCAGCTGAAATTCATAGAAGTTGTGTACTTTCTATCCGGGCATCCTGCTGTGTCCGTCTGTCGGTCCGAGCTCGCTTGTTCCTTCAATTGCCTCCAAGCTTGGTGGGATGTGTTGGGCATCCGGCCTTTGCGAAAACGATTTAAACCTTGGCCGATCTACATCGAAAACCTCAGCTTCGAGCACTTGAATTTGGCCATACTCCTTGAATTTGTGCTCACAGTGGGGAGCACCAATCCAGAGATTACGGACACCACGTCCTTCGCTGTCCGAACCAGGTCCTTCGCAACCATCGTCCTCCGCCAGACGACCCGGTCATCGGGAAGAAGTCGATCCAAAGAGACAGGATCGAGTCGATCCAGCAACCTCTGATGAAATGCCCAAACGCTTCCAAGCACCATTGGTTTAATGATTAAAAAGACACACACACACACACAAAAAAAAAAAGAAGCAATTGTATAAATGTTGGATCCCGAACGACCATTCTTTTACAGATGTGGGCTCCTGCACCGAATCACCCTTTTTTTGCAGAACAGGACGCCCTCAGGCGGGTGCATCTTGCACATGTTCTACTTTATTTGCACTATATATTGTACAACGAATTATCTTGTACAACGGCTGTAGGAGCGATCGGACGCTACGAACGGGGCTGGCATCGCCTCGAACGGAGCGATCGGACGCTACCAACCGGCAGGGGGCCCTATGCTGAGCACGCCGGCTACCTCAATGCTTGGCGGGTCCGTCTCCGAACTGTTACCATTGGGCCACCATCCTTCAAGTCGGACACCAAGCAACTTCACAATGGAACGAATCGGAAAAAAGAAGCTATGAGCCAATTCAGAAAAGAATGCTGTTTGATGCTTTTTGTATTGTTCTGTCGATTGGTTTCTTTCGACATCCTTCAAATCCACATCCCAAAAACTGTCGCGATGGGACCGCTCGTGATGAGTAACATCACTTCCCAAGATCCTGCCTGCCCTGAAAAAGACCCAACATTCAGGTGACCCATGCTCACCTGGATTGTGATGTAGCCATTCACATGCTGTGACTTCGCCGAGAGGAAGTCCTGCCATTTGTGAGAGGTAGAGTGACTCTAGAAATGATGGTAGGAGCTGACTTCCAAGACAATCTCTTGGGTCAGTATATATATATATAGAGAGAGAGAGAGACTAGAGAAATAAATTACACTGTGGCACCCTTGCCGGATTCGGACACAGGTTGGAACCGCATCTGAAACGACCTGAGTCCACTACAATCCAAACACCTTTACTGTACGGTTTTCTTGCAACACACACAATTGGATTTGCTGACCAGATATAGCACGACTGAGCCACTAAATCCTCCAAATCAAATTCATGAGCTTGGTACCTAGATATACCTAGTGTGCTTGAGCACTGAATAGCACTGATCAAGATTTCTAAATTCCTTGAAGCTCTAGCCGGTCAACCCATCTTGCATCGAGGAGCGAAGAGGAATTTGACTGAAGTGGTAAAGGATAACATGGGGCGTGTCATGGTGTGTCCAACACAAGTTGTGGAAATCCAAAAATTGTGGAAATCGGTCCGCGGTCTCTGTCGTGTCCAGACATGAGACTTCTAAATATTACGAGACTATTAGAGGTTGTTCATTCAACGTGACCCCAAAAAGAGCAGAGGTCGAAAGGTTCTTTGGGCGGGTACCCTTCCTCCAGCCATAATCATGGAAGTGGACAACCCTCTTGCTAGAGAAAGATAGTCTTCCAAGGGGCCTTGGGGCAGTACTTCTACTTCAGATGTTAAGGGTTTGACGGCACATGTCGATTGCTATGGACCAAGAGTTAACCCAAAAGCGTCACTGGTGTAGAAATGACCTCTCTAACACTGGGTTTGCCGGAAGCAAACAAGCAAGTACTGTAAGAGCTGGTCTTGTTAAGTCTTGTCCTCCCAATTCACCAATTTGTATAGTGAGCATGGGCTGTCCAAGATGTCGCTAGTTGTTTGTGCTCTTCCCGGAGCTTTCCAGCTATCCCATGGGGGGACCAAGAAGGCATCAGGGAAGCTTCTAGTAAACGCAAAATGCTAGCTGGCAAACAGGCATTCCGCGTTTGCAGTAATTTGTAGGAAAACGTAATTAGACATTTGGTAGACCTTGAAAAGAAGATTTGAACAGGCATTGACTGTCCGATTATTTGAAGGTCATCCAACAAGCTGGAGCAATTTCGACATGCTAAAGCCGCCTATCCCGGTCTCCGCCCTGCTTTTGCCACTGGGCGGCCCGACGGCTTCAGTCTCCTGCCTGGGGTTGGCAAGCTTTGAGGTCGGTCCAAATCAGTCCCAGATCACATGGATAAATGGATCTGATCCTACAACATGGGATATAATTGGTCATGGATCTTGGGATGTTTTTGGGTCCTGGTCAAATTCCCTGATCCATTTTGGAAGACCCTACCACATGGATATGGTATGATATGGATATGGGTCAATTTGAACATGGGTTCTTCATGATGATAAAATGTATGGAATTAAGGATGAGTCCGATGACATGGACTGGTCAGAAAGAGTTTCTGGGGTTTTCATGACACTCGAATCGAGTCCCATTGGGATTCTGGAGTGGTCACTTGTTCTATGGCTCAGACTGACACAGGGCTGTCTTAGCTTTACTTCGATCGCCAGGAGTGTCCGGATGAAGTCGCCTGGAGAGGGAGAGGGTCCTTGGTCTAGTTCGAGCGTTGATCCTTAAGGGTCTCAAAAGTGTCTGCTTGATCGAAGTTCAAGCGACGAAACTTACTATATCCCTCCGGGATCCTCATGGGAAGGGTCATGGACCCCTCACAAGTTTTGCCCGAGTACCTGATCTGGTGCTCGATGAAATTGCTGGGCATCCTTGGAAGAACAAGTGAAACTGGTGGGCCCCCCAACTTTCACCGGGCATTTGATCCTTCGGGCCGAGGCAGGGGGCTGGCCTTCGTGTGCGATAGGCCGGGAAGGAAATCACCATACCGCCTCCAAGAGCTTCAACAGAATCGATGTAGCTGGTGCTCCTCAGACTCTTGGACCCACGGATTGTATCAGATTATACTCTTTTGTACTCAGGTTTTCCATTTACCTGCAAGTTTTGGTGGGTGCCACCAATTTGTTTGGACCATGGCTGCCATGGTCTTTCCGCTTGGGGACCATTTATGCCTCTATATATTAATCCCCTACTATATCCCCTAATAATCATCCTGTCCGTCTTTCCCTGAGCGCCCGGCACGGCGTTGGTGGGCGTGGACGCTACCGAGAGCGCCACGTGTGTCCTCAGAGCGGCAGGAAACTGGCTTGAACCCAAAAACAATGTGTTTGGCGATGCAGAACTGATGCGGAAAGGCGGCCATGAATCGTTTGAGATGGGTGCTTGGGGTAGGGCGCAACAAATGAATCCCTGTTCTGAATCGTAGGTAATCAACGCATGAATCCTAAACTCTATACTGTATATACACGGTAGGGTTCCTACTTGCTCTCAGCACCAGATCAGCCGGTTCGTGTCAACACCACCCGTCTAGCCTAGCCTTTGCCTGCTTCTGATCCGGGAATCAACTTGGTGTTCTTTATAGAGACACCTGTTATAAACAGCTTGTTGGTTTGGCAAGGTTCACCGGATGTCGCAGGTGATGCGCTTCCAGTCTTCCATCAGCAGTTCCTCGTTTTGTGGTCTTCGAGGCTGTGGTGCATGGACGTCACATGCAGCTGCAGGTGTTGGATGCTCTTGGGTTTGCTCCAACTTGACGACCGGGTTCCGAAAACACCATGCTCGCGTGAGGCCCCTTTGGGGGACCTCCTCAGGACCAATCTGTCACTAAGTTATTTCACTCCGCTCGCAAGAAGCATCCCAAATCACCACCTCTTCCAACCCTGCCACACCATCCCACCTGCAACTTCCCCCTCCTTCCCATCCCTCCAGGCCGATCTTTTCTCACGTGGTCTCCGGCACATGGCGAATCGTCAGCGAGTAGCGCTCCCCACGCTGCAGCACCTCGCCCTCCAGCTGCCGATGCCATGAGGGACCCTCGACACCCAGCAGGTGGCGATTGGCGATCTGCGCCAAAGGATCGCAGGGGCGATCAGCCAAGCCATGCAGATGGTGACAGTAGGCATCCTGGAGTGTGCCTACTGGCACAAGATGAGCCCCTAAGAGCTGTTGGATGGGTGTGGGTTGGATGATGGATGGCAATGCAAACATCAATATTTCAAGAATTCCATACATGAATAGACATCCTTCCAAATTGCCCGTTCATCTACCAGTACCTCCTTCCTTCTTGCACCGCCCAATATTGCCAATCCAGCTCACTCAGCTATCCAAGAAGAAGACACCTCATGCACCCATGCAGTGCAAAAACAAATAAGATCAAACAACAAAGACCTCATTCCGATCTCCTCACTAAAGACCAACAAGCTCCGTGGTGGCAGCAGCACCGCCAGCACACTCGCTTCTCCGCTGGCCGCGTGCGCGTGGTCGCGCCAGAACTCAAAGACAGCTGCTGAGCCCAGCGAGAGCACGGCCGCCCAGGGGCTGTACGCGGGGCCGTCGGTGTGAGGCAAAATCCCCTGCCCTGGGCAGCTTCGGAAGGACACGGGAAACTGTTCTGCCTTCTTTTGCGGGCAAATGATATCTGCCCGTCCAAAAACCCTTCGTTTGCACCAAAAAAAATTGCACCTGGCTGATAGTGATTCACCAGCACGTGATTGGCGCGTGGAGACTTCTTCGCCGCATGGGACACTGCTGCGCAGAGCGCATCAAGCCAGCTGGGGAGCACTTCGGGGACGAAGGGCGGGCCCACCTGGGAGGAAGGAATGAGATGGTTCCAACGGAGAGATGTTCAGTGATTTCAGTCGGACATCCACAAAGAGGTCTGAAACAAGTGGCAAGCTGTACTGTAACCGAAGATGTGACAGATTGACAGGGTATATTTTTCTGAGAAGTATAGTTAGTCTCGGGTTCTACAATGTCTGAATTTTCTGGATTCCCCAGAACTGGCTATATATCCCACGCTTCGACAGTGAACCCAGAACAGGCGACTGACCTGAGATGGATTCGACTGCAACCATTGACCGACTTCAGGGAATGCGACACAACGGACAGTCTGGTCAAAGTTCTCACTGACCCTCTGCACAACAAACATACAAGAACTCCCAGCACAATGCACCTGCTCAGCCAACCCAGGTTGATGGGCTCCCGACTCCCTCCCAAGGAGTTCTCAGATTCTTCGACCTAAAATGTATCCTTACATTAAACTAAAAAGGTGAAAAACATATTTGCATATATTTGCATTAAAGAACAAACTACATTATAGAAACTCCCCAGGATCCTCAGAACAGCTCACCCCATCACATCCGGTTGATCTGCGCCTCCCCACCGAAGCGCGCCGTGCGCTTGCTGCGCAGCGTCACGAAGTCCTCGCGACCGACGGCGCTGGGAGTTCTGCGGACAGAGGGAGTCTGATGAACAGGGCGAATGGAGGGGGGTGAATGACCCCGACCCCATCTGCAGTGGTGGACGGCAGGCCCGGTAGACACCATGGTCCTAATATATCATCAGGTCTATCGCTGCAAAGGTAGCAACGTTTGGAGGGCGAACTGCGGGGATCTTCTCTGAAGCTCCTTTCACACCATGAAACCCTCCTTGTGGCGGCGCTCGAGGTTCCGCAGGAGCACGCTCTCCGCCTGGGCAGTTGCGGTCGGATGCCGGCCGCATACCTGAATAGTGGGTGATGAACATGATTCCAGCGTCATCTTAACCTGAGAGTTGTGCCAAAAATAAGGATGATGGTTGGGGAGAGAAGATACTTGGAAAGAAAAAGACTTCTGTTGGCTAAGTGGAGGGCTCTCCCTGCCTACAGCTTTTGTAGAACCTCCCCAACAATCCAGACATGGATCCCATCCTTGGTCAGCACCTGACACCGCAATTCTTTTTCAGTTCTTCATTTTTCGCGTGCAGAAACCCTCCCAAACAATTCGTTCCGCCAGCCTCTTCTGGCAGCCAATTCTCCCACAGCTGCACCGCGTTCAGCGACAGCTCCAGTGGAAGCGCCTTTCCCGGAACTTCAATGAAACGTAGGACATCGACTGGGTTGCGGCATGACAGCTCCAATGGTGTGCACGAGTAAATCCGGAGTTTGATTGAGCAGTCCCAGGACGAAGGGTCACCATGAGTTCAGCTAGGAACCGCAGGAACCCTGCCTTTTGAGCAATTGGAACAAGAGTTAGCTGAAACGTCCAGTAGAACTATGTGCGTGATTCATCGTGTTTCACAAAACTAGGGTCCAAAGACTGGTAGCCTGTCCTGAGTTTCAAGAGCTTATGAGAGCCGAGTTCCGGGTGGATGATGGAACTGATGGTGCCTGTGAAGGTTTGCCTGTTCAAGGGAACGGCACGCTTCAAAGGAAAGAAGCGTCCTGGATTCGAGATAGGAACATTTGACCAAAAAAGGTCTCGGGCTCTGAATGTTCACATGTTCACTGCAAAATTACTACCAGGATACATCCAATTCGACCACACATTTGCCCAAGTTACACAAGTGGTTCACTCCTTTTGGCCTCCTTTTTTGTCAAACTCAAAACTCATACATTAGGGCAGCGAACTGACCATGGTTTGCTGCCTTGGATTCATCATTCGAGGAACAGCCCGCAGGCTTTGCTTGAGTTCTGAGAAGGTCTTGAAGGCCTCACATCCATCCACTATGACGCCTGAGCACTTCATTTGGACCACCAAATTAAGTTATTGTGGTGGTTCGGTTATGGTGCTAGCAACACCACTCGTAGTACTAGTAGTACTAGTTAGTAGTAGCAGTAGTAGTAGTAGTAGGAGCAGTAGGAGCAGCAGCAATAGTAGCAGTTTTTTGTAGTGGCATCTAGTAGTAGCAGTAGATATACCAAGAACCGCTCCCAAATCCGGGACATCACACTAGAACCTGCCTCCAGCACTGAGCTCAAGGGCACATCCTCTTCCTCATCAGAGCTTGAAATGCTCCACCACGAGGTGCCCATGGCTTTGCCCGACAAACCACATGAGTCCGCTTCATCCGTGCCCAAGAGTCATGAGTCATGTGGGCTGCCAAGGGTCACCAGGCTAGGGGACTAGGCTAGGGGATCTTCGCTATGGTTCTGTCTGATCGTGGCCCTGTCCGAAAGCAGCCTAGTCCTGACTCTGGTGGTCCGGTCCCATAGGATAAGAAGGGGCCCAAGCACTGTTCAAGAGGCTTCTGGCAAGGGGCTTTGGTCACGAGGATTTGACATGGATGGGAACATTGCAGCGTAAGTATTTGTTGTCCAGTTTAATCACCTGGCCTGGAACATCTTGGAACAAATGATTAACCATCATATTAAACTCGCCATACTCCATCCCACTTGCTTCTTTTCGGCGCTTTTCGTCGCTCCCCCCTTTCGTCCTCCTCCACCTTTTTCGTCTCCGCCCGCACGGGCGTGGGCGTTTCCTTCGCCCGGCGGATCAGCGCTTTCATGGCGAAGGTGGCTTTTGTGGCTCGTCTGCAGAGCCCAAACCAAGGCATCAAGAGAAGCAAGGCATGCAACACCAAGCTCGAACCCTTGGAGGATTGGCTGGCTTGGGAAGCCGGGAAAAAAAAGCAAGCTTCCCCATGCCAGAAAATTGACCCCATAGAGAAGATGTATACATGAACATCACCCTACAAGCAAAACCAGTTCAAAAAACCCAGAGGATCCTCGAACCCCGGTCCAAGACCGTGCCGCCGGTCCCGGCCCAACCCCCCGAAAGCTCACTGAGAGGCCCCACTTGGACGTGTCACTGCTGGGCGATGGCGCAATATTCACCGCGACAAAGTTCCTCGGAGGCGCGGTTTGGTTCGACGCGCGGACGGTTGGGTTTTAGCCATGTCTGGCGCATGGCTGGCGGTGGGAAGTGGCTCCTCAACAAGTTTGGGGGGGGGGCGGGGATCGTGAGAGCTGTAGATTTGACTGGATCATTGACATTCGACCAGGTGGAAGGAGAGGTGTGTTTGGAATGCGTCGAGTTCGGGTTTCATCTTGTTTCATCTATATACCTTCTTTAGGGCTCCTTGTACAAGCTCACAAAGTGGTGTTCACTCATTCGGTGATGTTTGATGTATCCCACGTCCTGTGCGTTCTATTGTGTTTTGCATCACCAGTCTTGAGACTTGCAGACTTGGCAAAAAAATCAAATGAAGTGTAGTTTGGTTGTGGTTGCTTTTCATCACTGGTTCCACACTGTTTTAGGATGTTTCAGAGTATAGTCACGCATGTATGGGTAAGTTGTCCACAACCAACTTGCATCACCAGTGCCCTGGCCCAACATCTTCAAACGGAAAACCTTCATATCGTGCCGACCTTACTCCGTCGATTGAAGCGACAGGCGGGACAGAAGCGGCAGCATGGAACACAGTCAGAGTCTCATCCCTTCAAGGTGTAGACCGCAACCGGGTGACAAAAGAAGATAAAGGAAGTTACTGTGGTATTGATCAGCTAGCTGATCAGCTACTGAGGTCATAACAACTTCCAACAGCCAACAGCCTCTCGAACCTCCACAAACCCGGCCTCTCGAACCTACAACCGAAAGCGCGCGCATCCGGCGCATCCGTGTTCTTCGGTGGGGCACCCCCACTGAGAGTTCGAAGGCGACAGCCGAGAGTTCCCAAGATCATCTGGCAGCGAACGGTTTCGGTTTCAGCGCACGCAGGTCTGTGGCCACAGGGACCCGGGATCGAACAGGGATTTTGAACTGTTGCTGGAGGGATAACTGATAACACAAGTTGGAGAATGTTGGAGGGATTTACTTTTCTTTGGAGATAGTGCTTTGCTCCTGTGCAAAATGATGCAAGTCTGCACATGAACTGTTGGGCAGAAAAATGCCCTCGGCTTTGTAGAAGAGCGATATTCTGCTGACTGTGAATCGCATGCTACCACTTCGATCGTTGATCCAGCAAGAATCTAAGAACATGGCCCGTGGCGGAAACAAACAAATTAAGAAAAGACCTTAGCAGCTACAATACTACAACTTGGGATGTTTTGTGGAGATAATTCCAGAGTGCCCAGTTGCCCAGTTCACGCGCAGTCCATATGCCGTCATCAAAGCCAACCCAGCTCGTGTTTCCCGGGGTCTACGACTCACCTTTCAGTTCCTACATAGCGTTCTCTTGTTGAAAGATGTTGAAAGTGCATGCAGGGGGCGAAAAGGCCATGTAAAATTTGGGCTTGGAAACGTCTAAGACTTTAAGAAACACCCACGTACTGTGTTTTTCCAGGTTCTCTCCGTATGCCTCAAAAAACGCACCGGCCTGAAGGAGCTACTTCGGGCCTCCTGACGAGAGTGAGACTGGACTGAGGGACCCCTTCATCTGAGGCTCTCTCATCTCGCCAGAGTCTCTCATGTTGGCACCACTGGGACATTGGACTGGGCGCCTTTTTGAGTCTTCGAACGGATCAACCATAATCAACGACCAGCAGACGCGTGTTGGGAGCTGGAGAAAAGAAAAAGCCGAGCAAGACTGAGAGTTGAGAGATCCCATCCCAGTGTTGCTGTTGATCAGTGGCATCCCAAGCGAAGAAACGATCCCCGAATGAAAGCACACACAAAAAAATAAACACTGCAAAGCGGATCTGCTTTAGGCTGAACACATTCGTAGGATTGTCGGTTGTAGGTCTACCCAGTGGGGCACCAAGAACCACAGGAATTGGTGCCCAAGCGGCTTTTGATTCTCTGGGTGGCTACGCCTCATTGACAAAGGCATGGTTTCTACAATAAGACTCCTTTCCAGGGCTCCAGCTACCTCCGTTTCGAAGGTGGTTGGGCTGGGTGCCAGAGGGGTCTGTCCCTACCTTCGACTTTGAACGTGCTTGGAGCACTAGGGCCTTCCAATGAGCCAGTCTCCATAATTTCCGAACTGCGGTTCTCCCAAACTCTCCCTTCCCCCGAAAAAAAAAGGATTGAGCGCATGGTCTCCGATTCCAAGGCCTCTTGGCTGTGAAACCTGAGTCATTCTGAAAAAAAAAACTCAAAAGAAGAAACACCCCGACACCTAACCACCTCACCCACAAACCGGCGCTGGTCCGCCCCAGACTCCGCCCCGGCTTGGAGCCCCAGACTCCGCCGGCACGCCGGGACGCCCCACGAATCGAACCCCATCTCACTGGCCTCGATTCTCCAGACTGACCACGTTTTGGGACGGGCCTCGGTCGATTCAGGGGGGGAAATTGGACGACCGGCAGCGGGTTGCCAAGCAGGAACCTGCCGGGAGAACATCTAAGAGAACAAGTATGTCCAAAACATGTTTATAGGCTATTTATAGGTGTTTTATGGTGTTTTTGTGTTGTTCTTTGCGGGAAGAGGATTCACCCATGGGAAAGACACAAATCGCTATTGATTGAGCAAGGCCAGGTGGATTTGTTCAACTGTCCATCTAAGATAATCCAAGACCAGACCGGAACCCACCACCAGACCGGACCGGGCTGGGCTCTGCGAGAATGGGACCTGAACACTCCACGTTAAGGCAGAGGTTTGACCTGTAGCACTCCATGTACACTTCATGAGGCAGGTTGCAAACATACCCGGCTCGGCTTGGTACAAAGGCATTGGAGCAGGCGCGTTCTTGAGGCTTCCGAAGCGGGATTCAGTGGGGAAAGAGGATCATGCAAGGCGCATAGAATTTGCGTGGGTCCAAGATAGTCTTTGCTGGAGCAATCATCATAATCATCAATGTACCCTGCATGCCGCCCTGCGCAGGGTCGTTCCATGCAAGGGCGTTCGATTCATTCCCGTTCCTTCCCACCTCCGGTGGTCCGTCGGCCGATCCTCACGCAACGAAAAGGCCACCGAGTCACAAAATCAAACCACCCGACGTGCCTCGGTGGGAACAGGCCGCTTGACTTACGAAAGACAGGCCCTGCCCATAAGTCATGATCTGTCTTCACTGAAATACCTTGACCACGCCTAGAAGCTACAGCGTATGTAGAAAATAGGTACTCAGGTGCAGAGGAACGTGATTTCCAGTTTGATGGGCCTTCGCTGCAGCTCTGCAAGCTCTGCAAAATTCTGCTGGCTCACACTTGGCCGATGGTTTGCGTGCCAAAAAGGATCTACTCGCTCTCAATCTACTCATTCTCCATTCTTCAGCCTAGTGCTAGCGGATCTGTGAACGACACAAGATCTTCGGCTCGGATCCTGGTGGATCTTTCAAACGCGGGTGTTTCTTTTGGAATGGGGAGATCCCAACAAATGGTTTCAGATAGGGCTCATAGCATGTTTATGCTTGAATTATCTTGAATTAATATAGTATATATATATACTATATACATAATGTATACATAATATATGCAGTACTCATATAGCATTTGATGGAATGTGATGAAGCTCCCAAATACTCCCAAAATGAAAAAAATGAAAAAAACGTCACGAGAATATTTCGTTGGTACCAAACCAACTCCTATATGATCCAAATCACCACGAGACGCACGAATAGCCATGAGACGAAACGGCTCTAGCGGTCGGGCCTCTACTTGGATTTGTGGCCGCCTGAGACGCCGCGGTCTCACGGCGAGGCGCACAGGCGTTCAAATTCAAGAGGTTGGGAGGCCGGTTTGGAGGCTCCAAGTACCTTCTGAGAAGGTACTTGGATCCCTAGAGATAGCAACATCCTCACTGCCAGGTCTCCTCAATCGAAAATTTGACAAATCTCCATTGGTGAATGAAGTGGGATGCGGGTATATGCGGGTCATGATCGCTGTCACGGATGTGAGGGATGTTTGTAGAATATAGGGGCCAATGTCTGCCAGGAGTAATTGTTCCAATGAAGGGGCCTGGTGGAAAAGGTTCAAAACGGTCCCACCGTCGAAACGGTCCAGATCGAACTCAAATGGTGTATCGGATTCCTCGGGTGAACAGTCGCACTTTATGCTGATAAAAATCAAAACAGACATCTAAGATCTCATGATCCGGTGAATCGTGGGATCTTAGAACCCATGAATTCATGGTCAGACAAACTCAAGGACGCGGAATGCCTGACATGAATTTGTGGGACGCTTGACATACCCTATTGCCTGTCAATACCCTATGTCATTTGTGGGTCCTTGACATCAGCCACCGGTGACGGTGACCCGCTGACCAGCGTCGCGTGGTGTAGGAACGGATCGGCTCCAAGAGACCGACGGGGTGTTCCGTGTTCACCACAATAGAAAGGCGGCGACCGAGACAGGCAGGAAGGAAAGAACCACAATAAGAAGGAAACAGAAAGCTTTAGCTTTATATATACACTTTATATATTATACATCGTTATACCCTAAGCATCCCTAAGCCTTCCAAGACCGAAATAAAAGCAGCTTGGCCATGGCATGCCATGGCCATGTGACGTCTAGAGTCTGTTAAAAACCATCGTTGTTCGGGATTCGAACCATGGAAAAGTCACATGGACCGGTTAAAACTAACTCACTCAGTCGAATCGCACCGCACCGACCGTGATAGAGGACTGAAATCACATCGATGGATCGCACCTCACCCTTCCTTATCCTCGCAGTGTGAAAGGTCACCTCTTGAATCCTCTTGACCGAGCGTGAAGTTATTACTCAGGAACTGAAATGACACAAGCCAAACAATGAGCAAGAACTCGTTGCTACAATGGCCATTTTGGAGAATCAGCTTAGCAGCTAGGCTATGCGGCTATGCTAGGCTCAGTCTCAGGATTAGCGGATTTCTTCCACTTGTCCCTTCGACTGGTGGTCTGGTGGTGTTCAATGCTTTTCCACACGGACGGGCGGAACTTCCTCTCAGAGTGCGTAGTCGTTTGAGTGGTTTTACACCCGAACCGAACCAACAAAAAACACCCCTTGCCTCAAACGTCGCAGCCGTCTTGGATTCCTGATCGAGGAAAAGCAGTCGGCAACTGATCTTGGACTCCCAAGGACGTGGAGAGATAGAGCAGAATGCTGGGCGAATGGAGGACGTGGTGGTGCCCCTCACTCACCTCCAAAGATGTCCAAACTCTGAAGAAAAATGGATGGATGTGATGCAGAACGCGGTCGAATGAACCACACTACTACTACCCCTGTAACCGACCGAACCATCGCCACAACTGTCATCAGGACCAGCAGTAATTAGAATCCAATAATGGCCTATACATTTACAACCAGAACTCCAATATTGCAACCACTTAATCACTCACCTAGTCTCTGCAAACCTGGTGTTCACAGCGCTGTGGACCTTCAGCTCGGCTCCAACTCCAGCTGAGGCTCGGCATCTCTGCGATTGAGGATCGGCAGCAGCAGGGGCTGCGGATCCATCCTGTACCTCCCAGGCAGCGCTTCGAAGTGCGCGAGTTCGGCAACCGCCCACCCACCACCTCGGTACGGCGGGTTTCGGTGACAGAGATTCCGAATTGTCCCCTTTTGGGGGCTCCAAGTACCTCCTCCAATTACCGCGGAGGTGGAAGGCGAGGTGTCCAAAGGGTTCGCCGCAGCTTTGCACTTTGGAGTGTTGGTAGAGTTCTTTCGCACGACGGACCTACAGCATCTCCGAAAAATCCACGGAATTCATGTATATAATGTTTGATGCATCAAATCATGGAGAATCTTCCGTGTCTTGCAATCTCCATGGGATCCAGTGTTTCACCGCCCTTTTTTGCAGAGGGCGCACACAGACTAGACTCTTCTGCCGGTGCTGCGCAGCGGCCAAATTGTATGGCGGGTCCAACCGTGGAGGTGCCAAGTCCCACTAGATTCATGGGATTGGATGGTGTGTGGGCCTTGCTCAACTTAGGCAATATTAAAGTTCCCCCACCTGGACAGTTTGTGCTAATCTCGGATAAAACACGGAAAAACATGAAAAAGAGACAACTCATGCCACCAACATGTTGGTTGAGGGCAAAATCTGGGCCAACCTTCTGCTGGTGGGGCCGGACCATGTGCCTCTGGCCCATGAGGGCTTTTCTGGAGCCATTCGAGCAGAAGATGTCCAAAGTTGATACAGTAAACCAGGGTGAAACACATCATGGACCGACAAGACGACGAGACACTTGAAATGCAAACAATTCATTTTATTGATGTCCTTCAGCAGGAAGAAGGTGTCGCGTTTTCTTACTGGGTAAATCTGGTCTGGTTCGTGTTGATTCGTGTACAGCCTTTCAAGCCATTGGTTCAACGACGCAAACCGGTGAAAACATCGGTATATGACAAAACGAGACAGACAGAGACAAACAAACAGAGACTCAGACAGAGACAAACAAATATAGATTGAGAGATATGGGATGATATGGGTGTGTATCAAAATAGGGAGACCATCCCAAACGTTCCGACCCCCTGGAAGGTTCGGACGATAGACCAGTCTACCATAGTCTACCCAGACCAGCGGGGCAAAGGACGGTGTCTCCCTATCTAAACCTTCTTAGTCTAAAATGACACCATATGACACCCATATCTCAAGGCGGTCTTGTGATCTCTCTCTCTCTCTCTCTCCGACTCTCGACCAGCTTCGAGACTGACGCCGATCAGGGGGGTCCTTTCAGTGCAGGCACTCCGCGTGGACCCTTTGCCACCCCAAGGCTCCGTGAAAAGCCGGCCTTTCCCGGTCCCCCAAAACCTACAGGCCAAAAAGGGATTGGTGAGAAATCCAGAGGATCACAGAGCCCGGACTCATGAGGATTCGGGTCCGAATGTCTCCAGAGGGTTTTTAGATGTTATTAGCATCTATAGGCAAGTGGTTTTCTTCTGAACTGAGGAATTTTTCGTACAATCTCTGTGGATGATGCTTGCAGTGGAATTTCCTGAAGAGTGTGCACGTGGTGTCCATCGGGTCAATCTATCGCGGAAATCTGCAAGAACCCCTGGTTGATTGGGTCGCTCTTCCCCTTGAAGTCAACAGTGAAAACAAGCTTCAACCATAAGTATCATAAATACATGCAATTCATTACATAAATTGGGGGATCTTTTCCTTGGGTAATTCGTTGGACACTGCACTGCTCGCCCCTTTTTTCCTCGCACCGGCTGCTGCCTGCGCCGGAATGGAAAGGGGATGTGAGGAGTGACCCAAGGAGGTGGCACAGTGGAAGAACCCGCAATTCGTTGACATACCCTAGGGATCCAAGTACCTTCTCAGAAGGTACTTGGAGCCTCCAAACCTACATAACAGCGTCTGCAAACACCTTCTGAGAAGGTACTTGGATCCCTAGGGATGGTTATTCACTGTTGATTAAAAAACTATCTGGAGATATCTGGAGGATCATCTCCCTATAGGCGGTTTTGTTCAGTCAAGGCATAGCAATAGTATCCAATGCCCTCAACCCAGATTGCTGGAGGTGCCACATGCAGCCAGTCTGGGAATCCCTAAGTCTTGCAAGGCTCCGAGCCAAAGAACAGTCAGTGTTCAGCAAGAGGTCGGCACTCCATCCATGCGTGGCGTGCCAATAGCAGTCGTCTTGCATAGACCGCTCGGGGAAGCGTTTTGCGGTGATCACAATCGTTTAGAAAGGGGGATCAAATGAAGGAGATTGGTGTATTTGTCTCGACACGGCCACTGCAAGTGCTGCTCATGGCCCACTTCCCCCGGCCTTCTTCTGCTGTCGGCCCTGGCCACACACAGTGCGGTGGTGTCCGGTTGGTCACGGAACGAAGTTTGGCCAGGGATCTGAATGCTTACTGACGAGTGAGATGCTTACAACATAGTCCTCCACAAAGCAATCTGGTGTCGACTTCGAACCAGATTGTTACCCAACCAGCCAGATCAACAGCTAGCAGCTACGTACCACGAACCACACCACGAAGCAACCACTAGCTACCCACCATGCACCAGCTCCTCAACATGCATCAGTTGAACCAACACCATGTGCCCTGCGCCTCCATAAGCCATTGCAGCGCAGCCGTCCGCGGCTTCGTCCGGTCTGCGGCCCGGGCACCGCGGTTCGTTCGGAGCCGGTGGGGGCGAGACATCGGCGTGTTCTGGGCCAATCCTAAGCCTCTGGACATGGACTGGAATGCTTGAACAGACCATTCCTTTCTTTGCCAGTGAATGGTCCAAGTCCTAAGATGTTGCCAGTGAATGCTCTGTCCAAGTTGAATGCTTAAGCAAGGATGAGCGCCTCTAGGAGGGTGATTTGGGTGGGAGAGTGATGTCACTCCCCTAGAGATCCTAGAGTTATTTCTTTCAGAAGTTCCCCTACCTACCTGTAATTACCGTTAATTGCCCATGTTTCGAGAAAGAGACCAAAATGACATGATGAATTAGATTCATGTCTTCAAACCACCTCGTTAGCTATCATTAGAGGAACCCGGAGCCCACCTTGCTCCAGTTCGGAGTCCAACTCCTCCGGCTCCTCCGGCTCCTCCGGCTCCGGCTCCTCACCTGGACGGTGGCGACCGGTTCACCGCACCCAGAGCTCATCCGATCGTGCATGGAGCGAATTCCAACATCCAATCGTACTTATACAGACATTGTTAAGTATTGTATAGTACCGGAGAAAAAATAAATAAAACATACAAAAGACAGAAATATATATATATATATATGTCCTTGATTGATCTGTGTTCAAGTGAATCTCTCCTCATCCAAAAGATCTTCAGAATCAACATCTTCCAATCTTGCAAACCTCGCTGGTTCTGGGTACTCCCCCATCCCTTAACATCCACCTGTTGAACCTCCCACTCCAAAAAACCGCTTCACCTTGCTCCCTCTGGCTCCGTCTTGGCTTCCGGGCGTTCTTCAGTCTGCCACCTGGGGAGTCACATCGATGCACAGAGTCTTGGACTGACCGAGACTTGGATTAGAGCGGAAGCCTGGTGAGACTGACCGGCTGCGACCGGCTGCCTTTTCTGCCTTTTCTGAAGAAAACAGCTCCATGAATGCCGGTGGACACCAGGAAACAGCACATCATGGATTGTGGATTGTTCAACGTTCTTGCATGGCATGGCCTTTCAAAAGTCAGTGCAAGCTATTCTGAGGCTGAAATGGGAATTCCTGTGCTGTCGAGTTCAATTGCTTTTCCAGACCCTCACAGTGTGTCTAAGATAAGATCAAAGCATACCAACCCCTTGTTTTTGAGTGTCCAACGGTTCTCAGACTGCTCATCCACTCCTGTCCAACATCTCATCTCTTTCTGCACTTTCTGACTGTGGTTGTTGCTGGTTTTCTGCAGCACACATGTCCCCATCGACTCCGTCCTCCAAACCCCGGCTGAGCAAAAGCACGACGCCGCCAAGGTGGGCGTCCGCGGCGAGGCCGGGCTCGGGGGAAACGCCACGTCCTTCAAGGCGAACCAAAGCTTCCTGGAAGGAAGGAAGGAAGGAAGGAAGGAACCCCAAAACCAGTTGACCCGAAACGGATCCGTTGTCCCTCTTTGGGCGCGCTGGATTTTTTTCGGGAACCAACCGCGGAAACTGCTTCAGAGGTGAGGTGAGGTCCCAGACCTCACCCGTCGACCGGAGACCGAAGACCCCATGCCGTCAGCCCAGGTGGGGTGCAGCGTCAGACGGAGGTCACCGGCGACACGACCGGTCACCGGTGAGCCCAGAGGATTCCGTTCGTTGAAACCACCCGATCGGAAGTCACACTCCACCGCGGCCGGCCGATCGACGCGACCCGCGGCCGGCGAGATCAGTGAACCGTTGGACTCTCAGGGTCGCTGTCCGACTAGAAGACTCGTCCTGGGCAAAGTAAGTATCCTATTCTGCGACGATCTATTGGTTCTGGACTTTTGACCATGCACCGTGCAAGATGCAGGCGAGCAGATCAGAAGCTGCCCAAGAACACCTGCATGGAATATTGACCTACATTGACGTTGAAATCAAATCAACCTTAATCCCCTTGGTTCAGTCTTCGCTCAGTGGTGGGTATGTGTATGTGTCAATATCTGTGAAGACTTCTCTCTGGTCGCACAATGTCACCTAGAATAATAGGCGCTTCAGCATACAGAACCACCAGAGTCAAGATTTTTCATCACATTCAAATTAGAGCCGGGTCCACAGTGACCCTGATAGGGCATTGCTTCCTCATCACAACCCATCCGAGCTCGGAGAGGGAGTTGGTATCGCAGCAATGGCCGATACAACAAAAACATCCCCCACCTCCCCTCACCAGGAGCAACTCCTAACATGTCATTCACCAAGCGCCGTTGTTTCATGCTCCCCACATGTTTCACCCGTGTCCTGTTGGCTGAAGGACCAAATACGCACGTCAGGTTTCTCACGATGTCAAAGGGATCCTGCAGTTCCGGTCCGGTGGGGGTGTCTTTTGGCGGGATTGAATCGCCAACGTTGGTCACTCTTGTGCTATTATATTTTATATAGATATAGATGTTCTTATGTTATTTTCAGAGTTTGTTGTTGTTGTTGTTCTAGAGAATGTTGTTGTTTTTCTTTTTCAGATTTTCAAGATTTTCAAGATTTGTTGTTGCTTTCAGATTTTCAAGATGTTTGGACCAATAATACGCTCCATCACTGCCATCGCCGCCCAGTTCGGAAACCAATTCAGATAACAACGACGCCTCTGATGACGACTTGGGACCAGCGAGATACGTACCGTGAATATGTGTCATTATTTTTAATGTCTGGTGGTGCAATGTTTTTTGTTTTTTGCCACACCACAGGCACTGCCCACTGCACTGGCGCCTCAATGTGCAAGGTGTCCTCATCAGAGTAGACATGTCTCAAAGACAAATCCCTGGCGCAGTCACGCAAATCGTGCAGATCGCGACATGACATGAGAAATGGTTTATACTGCGTCCTC